TAACTAAGTACCAGGTGGGTAATTAATCACCTTAACTATGAACAATCACGGTTAAGCTACATAACCTTTATTTAGGATAATCTCCTTCAGTTACTTCCTTGTAGCTTAATAGAACAGTAGAGAGTGACCTTGGAATGGAGATAACAAACGCCCTAACCTTTGGAATAGAATGGATAGGATTAAAATCAAATGGTATAGATACAGATGTAACAGGAGAATAAAGAGAGAACCTGGCGGGAGAATCTGGCCACAGAACCTTGCTGGAGAACCTGGCTAGAGAACCTGGCTATGCTACTGATCAACTGATCGCTGTCTCCGTGTCATTTCTTCTTCGCCAACTCCGTCCACACCTTTGGGAAACCCTAGACCTGCTGGGGTTGGACCCCAACAGTTCATACTAGCCTCTTCCACGTTTTAAAAATCTCTGCCCTGCCCATGTGTCTGGTCTCCTCTTTATTACTAATATTTTTTGTGCATCATGTTTCCTGCCTGAGGGATCTTGCCACAGGTTTGCCTATTTCACTAGATTTAAGGAACTCACTTTTGGCTTTACAACCCTGTAATTTCTTTATTATCTAGTCGAGCTGCTTCTTTTATTTATTTTAAATTACCCCTGACTTTCTCCCCTTGGTTAGCCTGTCTTTTATTCTATTCCTTATGCTTTCTTTCGGTTTCCTCTGACATAATTTTTCTCACTTCTTAACTTAAACATGACATTCTCTGTTCTATTGGTACTAAGTCCAGAAAGGACAGGTCATTTCCCTCCAGGTACAAGTCACCAAGTCCCTGTGAATATTAGTAGCTGGGATTTTCACCATTGTGAGTTATATATATATTTTAATTTTCATTCTGACATTTCTGTGGAAGTATATTCTTTAAAAATTCCAGATGTAGGAGGGCTTGTGCCCATTTTTGATATAAGTGTGAAAAAGCTTAAAATAACAATGTAGCCTGTCATTTTCCAATACAAGGCGATTGTAAGTGACCTCCGAGAACAGAAATCCAGGCACAGTATTTACTGAGGATGGAAACAAAAGCAGAGAAATAAAACGTCCAGCGTCAGTAACAAAAGATGGTTCACAGGACGACCCTCGTAAACTCAGACAGTGAACTTGTGGGCAAGTGGCCCTGTCACATGGTGTTCAGCTGTGACCTGCTCCTGTTCAACGTCTATCAAAGTCATAAGTGAGCATATAACTACAAGTATTCAGAACTTCCCAATCCCTGCAACTGAACAACCACACACACACACACACGCGCGCGCACGCCCGCATACATGCACATATTCCCACACACATGCACACGATGATGCATGGGCACATCTAAAATATTGGTAATAAAGAGGAGACCACATGTTAGGAGGCCCTAGAAGGCTCCGGGGCAGGGAGACCAGCCTGGGGCTGAAAACTCAGTCCTGGGTGGCAGTGTGCCTGCGGGACCCTGGGCTTCCAGCCTTCTTCCCCAGCCTGCCCTGGACCAGGGGAGCAGCCCGGCCACTGCACCTGGCGCTGCTTCTGGCAAAACTGATCTCCTCAGGGGAGAGCAATCCACCTACCAACCAGGACGCTGGGAATGTCCCACAGGGAGGCGGCTGCACCTCCAGCTGCGGGGCCTGTGCAGTAGGAGCCCAGCAGGCAAAGCCTAGGGAGCCCAGGTGATGCCAGTCAAGATGCCTACCCATTAGAACACGGTGGGGACCAGGGGGCCTGGGTCTCCTGGGGGAGTGAGAGTGGAGAGTAGAGAGCAAGCAGGAGGCAGGGGGGATGGTGGAGGTGGAGCCCCAACAGACTGGGTGTCACAGGCTGGCACCCCAGGTCTGGGACAGAGGGCCTGGCTGTGGGAGGACAGCCACCAGGAGAGGCTCCAGGGAGCAGCGCACAGAACTCAGGTGCCTTGGTCAGAGCCCCGCGGGCACTGCGGAGTGGGCGCTGCCTGGACCCGGGCACAGGCGCTGCCCTCGGTGAGGAACAAGGCCATCCTGTGGACACAAAGCAGCGCTGTGGCCTGTGTCCCTCTGAGCCGTCGGGCAGAGTGAGTGAGATCAGTGTCATTGTCAGTGTGGTCACAGGTGTCCCGTGGTTGGTGGGGCCCGAATGGGATAGCCAGTGCCATGAATGAGGGCCTCCAGGAGCCATCCCTGCCCCGGGTCCAACACCTCCATTGTGACACCCTGTGCATCCATTCCTGTCACTCAGACCCCACACCCTGGGACCCCCAATGGCAGCCTGAGGCCAGAAGGACTCCTGTTCAGAGCAGCAGTGCAGGGCACTGCCCCCCTCCCTCCCACTCACAGCTGCGGGCCTGAATGCCCACGTGCACCTTATCTCAGCATCCCCTCTTCTTTTTTCTTAATCCTCACCCAAGGGTATTTTTTTCCATTGAGTTTTAGAGAGAGTGGAAGGGAAGGGGAGAGAGAGGAGAGAGAAAAGCATCAGTGTGAAGGCACCCCAATCCTGGGCTGGGGATCAAACCTGCAACCCAAGCACATGCCCTTGACTGGGAATCAAACCCAGGCCTCTTCGCTCTGCGGTCCGACACCCCAACCACTGAGCCAATCCAGCCAGGGCCCCCTCTTCTTTTTAAATTTATTTGCAGATACACACCACGTCATAAATATAGAGGCAATGACAGCTTTGTGTCTTTTTCCTTATTAATTTTATCCCCACCCCTCAACCCTCAACCCTCTTCCCTTGGGCAACCACCCACTTGTTCTCTGTATCTATGGGTCTGTTTCTGTTTTCTTTGTTCGTTTGCTTGGTTTTTTTTTAGATTCCACATGTGAGTTGCTCATTTCTCAACATCTTTGCAAACATGTGGTTTTATTGCACTTTTTCATTTTCTCCAACCTGGTGAGTGTGACGCTGCCTGTCCTTTATCTCCCTCAGTTTTCCTCTGATTATGAAGGAGGCCCGTCAGTGCTTATGGCCACGCAGGGTGTCTGGAGAATGGCATGCAGTGTGTTTTCCATTAGTGCTTTGTTTCCTTTGTCCCACATCATTCCTCTGAATTAGTATTTCTTCTTCCTGTAATAAATCCTTAAGTAGTTCTGTTAATGAGGGCCTGAAGGGGATAAGACACTCTGTGTGTCTTCTGTTTTGTAACATCACTCTTTTCCCCCCTCAATATTGTGTGACAGTTTATCTGGGAATAAAATTTTATGTTGATGGTGATGTTTCCTCACCACTTCCAAGGAATTGCTCCAGGGTCTCCTTCCACCTTCTGTTGCTGATCAGAAATCCCCTGCGTCTGACGTCATTTCCTTTAGGTTAAACTCTCACTTGTCTCTGTGGGCTTTTCATGTGGACATTGTGCAGTTTCACTAAAATGGGTTTAGGTGAGAATTTATTTGTGTTTATTCTGCTGAATTTTCACAGGGCACTTTCCACTGGAGGTTCACAATTTCTCTTTGATTCTAGAAAATTCTCAGATATTTATGTACAAATACTAAGTTTTCGTTTTTCCAGACAGGTTTTTACGTTCCTAACAAGGGGATCTCAATCTCTAATGAGCCTCTGAAGTTGGAGGCTCTCAAACCATCAAACAAGAAGCACTTTCATGTTTTATGGGGTTTTTCATGATTCCTCTGTTACTGAGATGCTGATGTTGAAACCCAACCAAGCCAACATTCAAGCTCATTTTGTGAATGGTCCTCCACCCCCCAAATCCCTTCCAAGTTCAAGACTCCTTCCCCACAACCTCTGTCCCCTCCACCTCTGTCCCAACAACCTCTGTCCCCTCCACCTCTGTCCCACCTCCTCTGTCCCCGTCTCCTCTGTCCCCACCACCTCTGTCCCTCTACCCGGAGCCCCTTCCCCCTAATACCCACCGTTGCTCATGCTTCATGAGCTGGGCCTGGCAGCTCAGCCCCATCAAACCCTCCCGGCAGGTCCAGGCTGGATGGACACGCCCTGTGTCACCCCAGCTCTGTGTTCAGCACTCACCTCCACACCGTGTCCCACACTTACTCCAGTGCTGTGGTTATGTCTGTCCTCACCTCCCTGTGGGTTTCAGGGGCCCAGGAACCCACTCAGTGACTCCTTGCCCCCGAGATTTTGTCCATACTGGGCACATGTGATCAAGGATAATTAAGGGAGGGAGGGAGGGGAAGAGGGAAGAGAACTAAGAAGAAACAAGTATGAAACAAGAGAGAGAGAGACGAACATAGAAGAGCAGAAAAGGAAAATAAGAAGCAGGGGAAGGAGGGAGGGAAGAAGATAGGAAGAGGAAGTGGAGGGGTGGAGGGAGGGACACTGGGACAAGCATAACCCGCATGAGCTCCCAGAAATGCCATCACAGGGACCTGAGCCCTGGAAACCTCCTCACACTCGAACACGGAGACCTGGGACCCAGGGACTCTCAGGGAGGCCCCCACTGCACCCTCCGTCACCGTAATGATAAGTCTATGCCACCATCTCAGCCATGGCTTGGAGTGGCTTTTCCAAGTTTAATAGGAATCACAGGGTGAGCAGGAGGCCATGGGCCCAGGCCCCCTGTCCTGGCCCCCCTACTGTGAGAAACCAGCCTGCGGAGCATCTCCTGTGTCTGCCACCCCAAAGTCAGGACAGAGAGCAGGAGCCTCTTGACACAGCGGGGGGTGAAAGAAAGGGTGAGGTGGGAGGATGAGGCTGGAGTTGGGTGTCAACAGGGAAGATTGAGGGTCTCCCCATCATGGGAACCCTGCCTTGCCTCATCTATGATCCAGGGCACAGAGGGACATACTTCCGGATCCAAGAAATGTAGCTCATCACCCGGGCATACACCCCTGGGAAATCGCGATGACCACAGCTGTATCCCCAGCTCACGATCCCTACCTGGACCCAGATGCCTTCCCAGCTGCACACCAGGGGCCCCCCGGAGTCACCCTGAAGGGAGAAGAAGGACTCAGTGATCATCTCCACATAGGCCACTGCAATGGAGCTTCTGAGTCCCGATTCCCCCGGGCGAGGAGGGGACAGAGGACAGAGGACGGGGCAGGTGGGGCTCACCTGGCAGGAGTCCAGTCCCTCAATCCCAGCGCACAGCATGTCATCCTTGATGATCTGACCACTGTTTTTGGAAGAGTTCTGGTAGCGCTGGTTACAGACCCTGTTCCCCACAATGGGAACCATCACCTCTTGCAACTGGTAGGGCCAGAGCCGAAGAGCTGTGGGGAGGGGCTGGTTGAGAACCAGGGCTGGTCCAGGCTTCTGCTCCTTCCCAACAACAAGGTACTGTTTCCAGTCCTTCTGGGCCCTGACTCTTGGGTGTAGAACAGCTACACCTGCCCTAGGACTGAGCTCTCAGCATCCACTACACCCATTCAGTTCTAGGACGCAGCACTTCATCAGCCACAGTCTGGGCGCCACAGGCCTGAGGACGGGCACTGAGGAGAGAGTTACCCCAGGATTGTTCTCCTTGAAAAGGAAGGGATCAGGGCTCATCCCAGAGAAATGCATCACAGCAGAAAGGAAACACTTCTGCGCTGATGGGTTCGGTTTTCATTCTGATTGAGGGACCTGCCTCTCGCTCCCAGACTGGCTCATCCTCAGGAGGACGATCAAGGTCCACACACCCCCACGGGGTGAGGGGAGATCACAGGCAGAGCCACAGGAGGGCCTGTCGCCTGGCAGAGCAAACACCTGTGTCCTCAGTATCCGTGAATCTGATCATGAAACCCCAGCTCTGCACACATGTAGGCTCAACAGCAAATCCCACCTCTAGTAACCAAATGTAGAATTAGCACATGGCCCAGAACTTCCACTCCTAGTCTGTGCCCCAAAGAACGGAAAACAGGGATGCAAGATGGAGACAGAGTAGGTGGCAGGTACACTCACCTCCTCCCAGGACCAAATCGGAATCACAACTAAATTATAGACACTCAACCTGAATATCCAACTGAAGACTGGCTGAAAAGAGGTCTCCTCATTAAGGACACATGGAAGAAGCCACATGGAGAGGGCAGGGAGGGTGGAGACACAGAAAGGGCTGCATTGAGAGTTAGGAGGGACACCTCAGCTGCAAAGGTCCCCTCTGAGAAGGGAAGGGACCCATCCCATCCTGAGTTCCCAGCCTGGAACACCAGTGCCTGAAAGAGGAGCTACACAACATCTGGCTGTGACCATCAGTGGGGACTGCACTTGCCAGAGTGAGACAGGGGACTGCCAGGAGCCCAGACGCCCTTTTAAGGGGCCAGTGCACAAACATCTCCTTGGCAGGTACTCAACCTGACTTCGCTCCAGCAGAGAAACAGCAGCCCAGAGTGGACAGGAGTCCTACAGGGAGAGATTGGTTGTATGACTTTGAGGAGAGGGCTGGAGGGGCAGCCTCCATTGTCCCGTGCTGAATCTTCTCCCACATGCCCACAGATGCCATCTTTCCTGAGTTGAACATCCCCTCCATAGGGCATCAGCCTGGGAGAATGAACGTGCCTCCCCCCCCACCCCTGCCCACTCCAGGCTGCCAGTTGGCTCATCTGACCAAGCTCATGCCCTGCAGGGGAGTCTGCCAGCTGCAACCAGCCTGGGCCCACACAGACTTTTTCGGAAGCTCTGGAGGAGGTCTGCACAGACTCCAGGGCTGTTGGAGACACACAGGGAGAGACAGAGTTGTGTGTGTCTGAGGCGAGGGCCATTTCCCCAGGCACCCGACTACCTCCACTGTTCACAGCCTTCCCTCCTCACTGCCAAATCCTACTCTGTGTGAGCCTGATGAACTCTACTGGCCTCACCCTGACGACTCCCAGAAACCCTACCCCACTGCAAAGATTTGAAGACCTCAGGTGGATGGTGGATGGTGGGTGGTGGGTGGTGGTGGTGGGTGGTGGTGGCTGGCCTTGGTGTGCTCTGCGACTTTTATTGAGTGATGTCAGACACAGCACTGGCGCTGAGTTTGAATCTGTATCAACCTGATGAATACGACTCGCTACAACCCAATGACTCATTGAGAATCTACCTCATGAAACTCAACTACCACAGCAGGGCTCACCTCACCACACAAGGGTCATACATTTCTGGGCACCTAGCTTAGCTGGAGGCTCTATCAGTGGCTGGGCCTAATGGCAACTGGCAGGCAGAGGCAGATTTTGGGGTGCTTTGGGCCTTTTGTGTCCTGACACAGGTTTGGTATTGCTGGGAATAAGCCTCAGTATGCAGCTTGGTCCCTCCCACGTGCACCCAGGCCTAGTGGAGGGAGCCACCAACGGTGGATCACGTTGTAGCGTCTAACAGGCAGCCCAAGATAGGTCACAGGCAGTGTCTCACCTTGACCTGCAAGACAGTGCCTCCCTGGAGGCCCCAGAACCAGCCCCCAGCAGAGTTCAACCCAATTAGCTCCACAAGCGGCACACTCAAAGGGAGATCTCTGCAGGCACCAGACCCTGCTGGGGCAAATTCTGCTTCATGGGGTCAGCCTACTCACAGCAGATCATACAATCTGATCAGGGTCAATAGTCAGTCAGCTTGAGGGTCAACCCTGCCTACCACAGGCCAACAACAATCAGGACTCATCTACAACAGCAGGGTTCTCCGAACCCACACCAGGGACATTCCTGGGGCACCCAGTTTAGGGAATCAGGGAGACTGCTCCACTGAGCTCCACAGGACATGTACTCTAAAAGCCACCCTACCAAGACTGGGGACATAGCAGATCTACCTAACACAAAGAAACAAATACAGAGAGGCGGCCACAATGGGGAGACAAAGAAGCATGCCCCAAATGAAACAATAGTAGAAACCCCCAGAAAAAGAACTAAATGCAATGGAAACCAGCAATGTACCAGATACAGAGTTCAAAACAATGGTCCTAAGGATGCTCATGGAATGTAGAGGAAGGGTGGAAGAGCTCAATGAGGACTGCAATTAAGAGACAGTAAGCATAAAGAAAGGACTAGAAACCATAAGAGAAAACAGTCAGAAATGAGAAATATGAGATCTGAAATGACTACACAAGAAGGAATCAATACAGGTTGGATAAAGCACAAAATCAGTCAGCAGTTTAAATGACAAAGTAGCAGAAATTACCTATTCAGAGTAGCAAAAAGAAAAAAAGATTTTTTAAATTAGGATAGTTTAAGGGACCTCTGGGACAGCGGTCACCAACTGGTGGTCCACAGACCACTGGTGGTCTGTGAGGTCCAAAAGCTTGGGAACCACTGCTCTGGGACAACAGAAAGCATAACGTTTGCACCATAGGGGTACCAGAAGAAGAGAGAGAGCAAGAGGTTGAGAACCTATGTGAAGAAATAATGATTGAAAACTTCCCCAACCTGGTGAAGAAAAAAACATACAAACCCAGGAAGAACAGAGAGTCCCAAACAAGATGAAGCCAAAGAGCCCACTCCAAGACACATTTTAACTAAAATGGCAGAGGCTAAAGACCAAGACAGAATCTTAAAGTCAGTAAGAGAAAGACAGTTACTGACAAGTGAGGTCCCATAAGACCAATTTCTCAACAGAAACATTTCAGGCAGAAGAGACTGACACGAAATATTTAAAGTGATAAAGAGCAAGAATCTACAACCAAAGCAAAAATCTACTTTACCCAGCAAGGCTCTCTTTTGTCCCAGCTGGTCTGGCTCAGCAGCTAGAGTGTCAACCTGGGGAATGAAGGGTTCCGAGTTCAATTCCGGTCAAGGGCACATGCCTGAGGTGCAGACTTGATCCCCAGTAGGGGGCATGCAAGAGGCAGCCTATCAATGATTCTCTGTCATCATTCATATATCTTTCTCTTTA